AAACTCAAACTTAGAAACTTAAACAAAACTTTAAAACTCTTTAAACTCCTCTTTTAAACCCTCTTCAAAAACTTCTTTTTCATAGTTCAGAAGTGAAAACAGAATGGGGCATATATAGGATGAAGAAACAAAACTCAAAACCCAAGTAAAACCCAGCAAAAAGACAAACAAACGGAAACTAAAAAAATAGTCATTACAAGCCATCAGTCGATTGACGGGTTTCATCAGTCAACTGATGAGCTGGCCGTTATAGGCAATCGGTAACTTATCGGTCAACTGATGACCCTTATCAGTCAACTGATGACCAAAACAGAACAGAAACTTTTGAATATTGTAGGCACATTCTTCGGTCGACTGATCAGTCGATTAATATCATAAGTCGACTGACCAGTCGACTGATAACAGGTTCTCAGCCTGAATTGAATAGTAAAAATAAAATTCAAACCTCTTTTAAAAATATGAAATAAATTCAGAAAAATATAAAACTTTGGAAAATGATTATAAACATGATAATGAACATGTTACAAAAAGAATTTTTTAATTTGCATTTCACTTTTATAAAATCTCATCATTTTGTAAAATCACATAAATATGAACATGTTGAAAACTTAATTTTGCCGAAATGACTTAAACAAAACTTTAAAATACCTTAGAATGGATTTATAGACTTATACAAGATATGAAAGTAGTGTAAGTAAGTCTTCAATCCATAAACATAATATTTTTCAAATTCAATAGAATATAAAGCATATAAATATGAAAATGAAGATATATATTTCTTCATATCTATATAGCTAAACCAAAACAACTTATCCACATAGAAAAAAAATAAGTATTATATATCTATTTGTTTGCAAAAAACTTTTGTGGATAAAACACATAAACCATTAAATTGTGTGCGTATAATATTGAGCTTAAGATATTAACACATAAAGTATAAACCCTAAACTAATTTACACAACTTGGTAGATCTTCAATATGCTTGACTTGGTTGCGGATGAAGCTTGATCTTGAAAATGACTTGATGTGCAATGGCTTTATTCCACTATTCCGTCCATCCTCTAATGGATATGATCATGAAAGCTCTAGTCCATTCATCCTCTAACATATTATTTGTCTAGAATACCTAATAATAAAACATAAACACTAGAAAAACAATATTAGGAATTGTTTGTAATCATCAAAACAAGATTAGAAGATGTAGGCTCAAAACATGAGACCTAACATCTTTCACTGTCTGCCAAATCATTGAACACCGTTTATAGGTGACACCTTCAACATAACATAATCTCCAACCTGAAACTCTAAAGGTTATCGCCTCTGATCAGTGTAGCTCCTTTGTTGACTCTAAGCGGTAAGAATATGCTCTCGAATCAATGGTACCTTCTTCATAGTCTGTCTCACGAGCTCTGGCCCAAGTAATAAGCTATCCTCCGGCTCTGCCCAACAAATAGGGGATTTACACGACCTTTCGTATAATGCTTCATAAGGTGCCATGCCTATAGTCGATTGATAACTGTTATTATAGGCAAACTCGACCAACGGGATGTGATCCTCCTAACTACTGTGAAAGTCAATAACACATGCCCGCAACATGTCCTCCAACATTTGGTTCACTCTCTCCATTTGACCATCTGTCTGCTAGTGGAAAACACTGCTATATGATAGCTGGCTACCGAAAGAATTCGGGAATCTCTTTTAGAAATGCGATGTGAAAACTGAGCCACGATCTAATACAATCATTTCTAGAACTCTATACAATCGTACAATCTCTCAGATAAAAATCATCGCATAAGTCTCCGCCGTATAAGTTATCCTCACTGGTAAGAAATGCGTCGACTTCGTCAATCGATCTACAATCACCCAAATTGAATTGTTCCATTTATTAGATCTCGGTAAACCTATAATAAAATCCATCGAGATATCTATCCACTTCCACTCTAGAATGGATAAAGGTTGTAGGGTTCTTGTGGATCTCTGATGTTCTGCATTCACTTGCTGATAGGTAAAGCACTTAGCCACATACTCCGTGGTATCCTTACGCATGCCGCTCTACTAAAAATACCTCTTCAAGTCCTTGTACATTTTGGTTGTGCCTGGATGTACTGTGTACCTGGTGCGATGTGCCTCATCAAATAGATCCTTCTTCAATTGTGGAATATCCAACACCACTAACCGGCCATTCATTCGAAGGCCCTCATCTTCTCCGATGGTCCAATCAGTCTTAGGCTTTTTAAAAATCTCCTCCTTTTAGGTTTGAATCCAACAGTCTCCTAATTGAGCGTTGGCCACTCTATTAGTCCACAATAGCCGCACGGCTAAAGCTCCCCAAAATGCACCGCTCCCGCCTATCTCTAGCCTAAAATTGAACTAGCTAGGGGGGTTATTGGTTGGGATAAATTGGGTCCAAGTGGGAAAATTATTCTAATGGAATAATTTTACCCCTTTGGGATATTTTGAGTGGGATAAAGTGGGATAATGGGATAATTTGAGCCTTTGATTTGACAATTCATATGAGATAATTGATGATGTGGTACCTTATTAAAATATAATTTTATCTATTAATTACTTCTAAATTAACTTATCAAATTGGTTTAGTATATTATTTAGTATATTATTAAAATATAAATATTATTTTACTTTATATTAAAATATAATATATTGTACTAAACTTACAAATTACTATTATTAATTAGGACAAATTTTCAAAATCAACCATTTTCAAAATTTAAATAGCAAAATCGACCTCTTAGGAATTTATTCAGCAAAACCGACCATTTTCAGAAGAAAATGGTCGGTTTTGCTGCGGGAGAAATTTTACGACATACACGGGACTGCTAGTCCCGTGTATTTCGAGGCAGTTTCGAATAACACGGGACTAGCAGTCCCGTGCGATCGGGGGGTAAAAAATTGAAACCCGTGACTTTCTAGATTTGGGAATGGATTTAATTGAGATTTGGGATTAAGGTTGAAATTTGGGAATGTATTTAGTTGAGATTAGGGAATTAGGGTTTAGACATGAATAATGTGATTAGGGTTTAGACATGATTAGGGTTTAGACATGAATAATGTGATTTGGGATTAGGGAATTTAGCCATTATTTGCTTTGTAGTTGAGATTAGGGTTTTAAATTTGACTTTAAATTAAGATTAATATTTCTAGTTATAATAGTTTTGGTGCACCACATCACCATCGATATTGTTTGAGGCATATAAGAGATAATTTCAAGAAAAAACACGGTGAGATTAATTTGCTAAATCTTTTGTAGCAAGCTGGTTGTGCAACCGATTCATTAGTGTATGAACATTGTAGAGAGAAGATCAAGTCTTTGTCATTAGATGCACATAATTGGATTGAACATAACTTGAAGCCTCAATTCGAGCATCGATGGGCATTATGTAAGGATGAGGGTGTGCGGTTTTGCATGATGACAACTAATTGCTCCGAGAGCTTTAACGGCGTTCTTAAAGGAGCACGAGCTATGCCAATACAATCATTGGTTGCAAGAACGTTCTATAGGCTAAACTCATACTTCAACAAAAGGCGTGAGGACGGTGTAGACTGGACAACGCGTTACACACCAAAGAATGAGTCTATTTTGCATAGAAGAATTGAGGCGGCAAGATTATGTCAAATTACTGTATTCAATGACAATGAATGGCAGGTACAGGATTATGACGGTATCTACACCGTTAAACTGTTTGATGTTGATTGCACTTGCACATGTAACATACCACAACTTCAAAAAATACCTTGTGCACATGTTCTTGCGGCTTCCTCCAATCAGCCGGGTGGTGCGAGAATTCCATATAATCGGTATTGTTCACCATGGTATTCAACAATTCATTACCGAAAGACATACAGTGAGAGTTTTCATCCACCCGATGATAGTCGGTATTGGCCCGAATATACTGGACCACGACTAATTCCACCTCAATACAAGAGACAAGCAGGTCGACCACGATCTGTACGAATTAGGGGAACCATGGATCAAGGACGAGAAGGAATTGTCAAGCATAAAAAATGTAGTCTTTGCAAACAACCGGGACATACTCGACCTCGTTGTCCAGCTAGACTCAATAGATAGCAATTAATTGGTAATAATTGACATATTCAAATTGTGATTTATTTTAATGTAGACAATATAATTAGTCGTGGATCGGTTATTGATATGTTATAATTGTATGTGCAGGTATATACACCATGGAGCCTGGACCGATTAGTGATGAGGTCCTATATGACCAGCCTCGACACTGTTCACATGTTATATCCTTTACAGAGGTAACTAAGTTTTTTATAATTTCAATATTGCATTCTTATAATATTGTATTCTTATATATTCATTTGCTTTACAGAGAGGCCCGGATATTGTTATGGTTGATCATAGCCTCAGCCATAGCCGTTGGCATCTAGAGGATGAGCGCATAATAGCAGCTGTAGGACGGGCCGGCTTCTTGACATGTTCAAAGCTTCGTTGGATGAGACTCGATTGTCCCCTACTCACCGCTTTGATAGATAGGTAGAGGCCGGAATCCAACACTTTCCACTTCCGAATGGGAGAGTCTACTATTACGCTACAGGATGTAGCTATGATACTTGGTCTCCGCATAGATGGTCCGTGCGTTACCGGCAGTGATAGACATTTTTGGCCGGACAAGTGTGAGGAGTTGTTAGGTGTAGCTCCAGAGTCAATGCCTGGAGGAAATATTAAATTGAAGTGGCTCAAAGAGACCTTCTCGGTGCCGTTGCCTTTTGATGCGACGTAAATATTGATTGAGCAACATGCACGTGCATACATTATGCACATGATCAGTTCAATATTATTTCCAGATTTGAGTAAAGATAAAGTGCATGCCAGGTATCATTTTTATCAATATTTACAATTATGTCTGTTGATTTAGCTTATTTTGATAACTTGAAATGTTGTGAAAATGCTAGGTGGTTACCACTTGTCGGGGACTTGGACACGTGTGGTGCGTTATCGTGGGGTAGTACGGTTTTGGCGTACCTATATAGAGAGATGTCTAAGGTTGCATTCATGAAAAATAGTGACCTCAAAGGGTGTCTCAGCTTACTGCAAGTATGGGCATGGGAGAGGCTGCATTTGAAGCCGAGACTATGCGTGAATTTACAATTAGACGGACAAATTCCACTAGGATGCAGGTATTATATTTTTTAACGTAGTAAATATAATTGTAGTTATTCATTTGGTACTGAATTTTGAAACTAACACAGATGGAATGTCCAAAAATGTTTTGACGAGACCCCGGCGAGACAGTTAGATTTCTACCGAAATGAGCTTGACCGCATGAAGATTTTTCAGGTATCATTTCTATAAAAATGAGTTTTTTCTTCTATATATCAACTTTCGTTTTAATGATATGCAACAATTATATGTAATACTCTGTAGATGGAATGAGAGCCCTACACCCCATTTTTCGATCAACTACCCCCGATATGCACAGAATATCCAGTTATATGGAGAGCCAGAGTTCCTCTAATATGTTTCGAGATAGTAGAAATGCATGTACCAGACCGCGTGCTTCGACAATTTGGTCTTGCACAACATGTTCCGCAATTTGTTAAAAAAATAGAGAGGAATGCGAAGAAAGGAGGGCAACAAAAGGACTGGGCAGCTGAGCATCAAAATTATATACACAGATGGAATGATAGACATTTTTGTATTGTTGAGCAAATCGAGCCAACTCCCCAGGAATCAGATTACTACACTTGGTATTGGAGGATAACTAGAAGATGGATACTCCATGCGACCACATCCCCGGTTGAGTTGCAAAGAGGATATGTGCCTCGGGGTATAGATGAGAGAGAATTAGTAAGTATTTTCAAATTTATTTTAAGTTCATTTTTATTAGAATTTTTCAATATTGCTAAATTATGTTTTTTAAAAAATTTGCAGGTATCAGCAATAGATGATGTTAAAACCATTGCAAATAGTGGCTTGGAATTGGCTCGAGCAGGTAATATAGAATTAAATATAAAATTTACATATTGTAATTTGAATTTTAAAGTAATTTTTGCATTTCGGATTTTTTTGAATTATCTCTCGCAAGTACATATCTCGAAGCACAGAAACATGCATCAATATATCAGTCGATAATGCAGAGGCTTCACCAAGCCTTACATCAAACTCATGAAGACCTTCATGATGGACGAGAAGTAGCGCAATTAGTATACACACGTCAACAACGACACAGACGAGGACGACGCAGAAACGACAATGAAGCTGGGCCTTCCTAACGTGTTGACGATGGAGCTGGACCGTCACAACCACAAACGCAACCGGATCAGGAACTCATCGATGGTCGGGATAGAGGAGGCCGAAGACAAAGGAGGAGGAGAAGAGTTCTTGGATGTATGTAAGCTAATCGGTATTGTTATACAAATTACAATCCTATTTTGATATGTACATTACAAACGTATTTCAGGACAATAGATGGTTTTTGGATTTGTGGTTTTTGGATTTGTAGCTGAGATTGTGGTGTGACTTATTAGATTTGTAAGTGGGTTTGTGGCGTGATTTGTTGGATTTGGATTCGTAAGTTTATGGTGTATTTTATGATTTTTAGATTTGATATGTGTTTATATAGGAAATTGACATATGAGTTTGTACAGGAAATTGATATATGTGTTTATGCAATGGTGTAATTTATGATTGTTGCATTTGAAATATGAGCATGTACAAGGAATTTTCCCGTAGCAGAAATACATGCACAGTTGTGAATGTGCAGGAAATGCACGGGACTGCTAGTCCCGTGCATTTCATTGCGCCCAGGAAGTGCACGGGACTAGCAGTCCCATGCTCTTCTTTTTTTGCAGAGATAGAAGTCTCTACAAAATGCACGGGACTGCTAGTCCCGTGCACTTCTTTTTTGCAGAGATATAACTGTCTGTAAAATGCACGGTACTAGCAGTCCCGTGCACTTCATTTTCATGGAGTTGTTAGTCTCTGCAAAAAAACACGGGACTGCTAGTCTCATGTTATTCGAAACTGCCTCGAAATACACGGGACTAGCAGTCCCGTGTATGTCGTAAAATTTCTCCCACAGCAAAACCGACCCTTTTCTTCTGAAAAGGGTCGGTTTTGCTGAATAAATTCCTAAGAGGTCGATTTTGCTATTTAAATTTCGAAAATGGTTGATTTTGAAAATTTGTCCTATCAATTATTGTATTGTATTATATTATATTATATTATATTAGCATGCTATACTATATATAATAATTAATATATATAATATCAATATATTTAATATAATATTTTAATAATGTAATATTTAATATAATAAATTATTTTATTTATACAAAAATATAATATGTTATACAATAATTACTAATTAACATTATATTAGTATGCTACATTATATAATAATTGATATAATGTATGAATAATATATATAATATAATACTTTAATAATATATTATTTAATTTAATATATTATAATATAGTATCATAGGATATAATGCCTACATTATAAAATATTATAATATTTTACTTTATTAAATGTAATATTTTTTAAAATTTTATACTAAATATAAAATATAATATAATGTTAAATAATATATATTAAAAGATATCATTTATAGTTAATATATTTATATTATTTTCAAACTATAGTATTATATTATATTATATCATAATATTTTACTAATATTAGCAATTATTATATTATATTATAATATATGTCATATATAATAATTATAATAATATTTTATAAATTAATTATATAATAATATATTATTTAATAATATTTGTTATTAAAATATTACATAATATTTATAATAAATACGTTATACTATATTACTAATTAATACTATATAATAATATATTACATAATACTATTATTAAAATATTATATATATGTTATTAAAATATTAATATATGTTACTAAAATATTATATAATATTATAATAAATATATATTACATAATACTATTATTAAATATTTATATATATGTTATTAAAATATTAATATATATTATTATATAATATTATTAATATATGTTATTAAAATATTAATATATGATACTAAAATATTATATAATATTATAATAATTACGTTATACTATAATTACTAATTAATATTATATAATAATATATTACATAATATTATTAATATATGTTATTAAAATATTAATATATGTTATTATATAATACTATTAATATATGTTATTAAAATATTATATAATATTATAATAAATACGTTATACTATAATTACAATTATATAATATTATTAATATATGTTATTAAATTATATTATTAAAATATTAATATATGTTATATTTTATATATCATGTCATATATTTATAATATAATTGCATGTATTAGTTTAGTAAAACAAAAATATTTTAAAATTATCCCAATTGCCTTGAAAGTGGAACAACATTGTTCCAATATGGAGGATGAGGTACTATTGGGATAAAATTTTTGTATATGAGTGGGGTAATTTTATTCCAAGTGGTGTAATTATCTCACTAGTATTCTAAAATACCAATAACACAAAAAGGTTTTATCCTTGTTTCATTATCCCAATGAATAACACTATGAAATAGAATCCCAAAATTATCCCATTATCCCCGAAAATATCCCAACCAATAACCCCCCCCCCCTAAGGGTAAAAACCAAAATTATCCCATTATCCCCGAAAATATCCCAACCAATAACCCCCCCCCCCTAAGGGTAAAAAGATCTCGATACAACGAACACCACAAAGCTGCAAGCCCATGACAACACTTCCTACTCAAGGCATCTGCTATGACGTTTGTCTTTCCCGGGTGATACTGACATGCGAACTCATAATCCTTGATGAACTCTACCCATCGCCACTGCCTCAGATTGAGTCCTTTCTAGAACAAAAGATACTTCAAGCTCTGATGGTCAGTGAATAACTCGAACTGAACTCCATAAAGATAATGCCTCCATGCCTAAGTGCAAAGACCACTGCTGCTAACTCCAAATCATGTACGGGATAGTTTTACTCATGATTCCTCAACTGTCATGAGTTGTAAGTCACTACTCTCTGGGTCTGTATCAAAACGCCTCCTAGACCTAATAACAATGCGTCCATGTAAACAACAAAGGTCTTATCACTACTCGGGATGATCAACACTGAGGCTGTAGTCAACTTAGTCTTTAAAGTCTCAAATGACTCATGGCACTACGGTCCCCAAACAAACTATACATACTTCTTCGTAAGGCATGTCAACGAGGTAGCAATCTTAGAGAAGTCCTGAATGAACTTCAGGTAATAGCCGGTCAAACCTAAAAAGCTATGAATCTCTGTAATAGTCTTTGCTAGCTCCCAATCAAGAACTGCCTCCACTTTAGCTAGATCAACTGCAATGCCCTCCTTGCTAATAATGTAGCCTAAAAATCTGACCTCGGATAGCCAAAACTCACACTTATCGAACTTAACATACAACTGGTGCACCCGCAAAGTCTGCAATGCCAGATGAATATGCTACTCATGCTCGGCCTCCGATCTCAAATAAATGAGGATGTCGTTGATAAACACGATCACGAACTGGTCTAAGTATGGATGAAAAACCTTGTTCAAGAAATTCATAAATATCACGGGTGCATTGGTCAGCCCAAATGGCATGACAAGAAACTCGAAAGACCCATATTGAATTAGAAAGGTGATCTTGGGAATATCCATCTCTCGAACCCACAACTAATAATAGCCAGAACGAAGATCAATCTTTGAGAAACAATATGCTCCTTACAACTGGTCGAATAAGTCATCAATACTCGGTGGTGGATACATATTCCGGATGGTGATCTTATTCAACTCATGATAATCTATACACAATCGCATACAGTCATCCTTCTTCTTCATGAAGAGGACCGGTGCTCCCCACGAAGAATAACTCTGGCAAATAAAGCCTTGAGATAAAAGCTCATCTAACTGAATCTGTAGCTCTCTCATCTCAGCAGGCGCCATACAATAAGGCTCTTGGAATATCGGTGATGTGCCTGACTGCAACTTAATGCAAAACTCAACCTCTCTCACTGAAGGCAATCCAGGTATGTCATGAAAGACATCTTGATACTCTGAGACTACTCGTGCCTCACTCAAATTGGCACCCCGATCCCACATCATCACCTCCTCGACGCATGCCAGAAATGATTCTGCAAACTGGTTGCCCCATGAGGTTGCTACAATCAACTCAAACCCATCGAATGCTCTCAAACAGAATGTCTTCATAAAACAGTCGATACTAACATAGTAGAAAGATAACCAATCCATACCAAGAATCATATCAAACTCGGACATACGTAGGACGATCAAATCGACCACAAACTCAGACTTGTCTAAGCTGATAATGCATCTCCTACAAATGCTCTCTAGAAGTGACACATCATCTAAAGGGGTAGAAACTGACAATGGAATATCTAGAGGTTGTGCTACAAGCTGAAGT